GATGCTGCTTGGCCTGCCTCCTGGTAGATGTGCTTCCGAGGTTGGGCAGCATTTTCTGGACAATACAAGTGTAGTGATACATTACCAATTTATGATAATCGGTTGAGTTCGTAACACGACCCATGAATATTTGCGAGAATAACATACATTTGTGCACAGCGAACTATTTTCTGCAAATAAAAGAAGTGTCCAACCTTGTATCCTTTTATGAATTATGCAGGAGCTTGGGGAGCCAATACTGAACCTCAACTAGATTCACCTATAGTGGCTACAAGATTGTTGACTTGCTCGCCGAGCTGGCTTGTTTTCGTGCAGACATTTCGTCACCATGCTAGGTAACATCATCAGTGAGGCCTCTGATGAAGCGATGTTGTTCTACTCTGCTTGGAATTTATACTGTCCGGTCCGGTCCCAGTTAACTGGGACACCATAACCATAGTACCCCAAGCCAAACATAGACACGCATGGGAATTCATAGAGGCATGGTTCTCAACCCAACACCATCATCAAACATATAGAATTGGATCCAATATACAAACCCATACAAAACAAAACTAGAAATGACACTACTCACCATAACGGACCAGACAGTATAAATTCTAAGCCGAGTGGAACAACATCGCTTCATCGGAGGCCTCACTGATGATGTTACCTAGCATGGTGATGAAATGTCTGAACGAAAACAAGCCAGCTCGGCGAGCAAGTCAACAATCTCACCCACAACCCAAGCTACAAATCTTTGCTATTACCTTAAAGTGGCTACAAGTGCAGGACTCTCCTCCTAACTCCCCAGAGCCTGTCCACCATCTACCAGACACAAGTCAGGAGTGGGATGAAATACTTCCCACTTGCTTGGATGAGTGCAGTCCCAACAACATCAAGAACCTTGATACCATCCAGGACAAAGCAGCCCACTTGATTGGCACTGCACCCACAAGCATCTACTCCCTCCACCATTAACACTCAGTGGCAGTGTGTACTATCTACAAGATGCACTGCAGAAATTCACTAAAGATCCTAAGACAGCACCTTCTAAACCTACAACCACTTCCATCTAAAGGACAAGGGCAGCAGATACACGTGAACACCACCTGCCAGTTCCCCTCCAAGGCATTCACTATCCTGATTTGGAAATATACTGCCGTTCCTTCAGTGTCGCTGAGCCAAAATCCTGGAAATCCCTCCCTATCAATTGTGGGTCAACCTACAGGACATGAAGCTGCAGCGGTTTAAGAAGGCAGCTCACCACCACTTTCTCAAGGGCAGCAAAGGACAGGCAATAAACATTGGCCAGCCAGCAATACCTGCATCCCACAAGCAAACAAAAAGATGAAAAGCTACAGCAGCCTGTTTGCCTTCACAGCAAGCTCACTCTAATTCCTCCAATTGACAATCTAACACAAACTAAATGGTATTTTCATGCTGTGGTTCTCTATCTAACCAGAGGCTAGCCAAAGTTCATGCTTGACTCTTGTGCCCAGTCACTAACAGGCGATTTTCACAACCCGTGACCCCTTGATTCTAAACCAAGTCAACTGACCACGCAAACTGAAATGTTGGCCAACCGCTGATCACAAGACCAAATGGACGGAAGAGAATTCCATCCATGTTCCTGTCAGAAGACACTTACCGTTTGTACCATGTTTCTGCCTCCTTGTTCTTGTTTGCCGAACGCAGCAGTCGACCGAGATTTACCATGGCAACATAGTGTTTGGGATTGAGCCGAATGGCGTGTAGGTAATGACCTGAAGCTCCATTCCCATTTCCTACAAGACACAGGCAAGTTTGAAGGTTAACAGCAAGGCAAAAATGGTTGAGCTCATCTGGGATTCACTGCCTGATATGGCGGTGGTAGCAAATTCAATAGCGATGGTTGATATCAATCTGGATAAACACTTGGAACAGGGAAAAGCAAAAGGAAATGGGTGAGGGATGAAGGACCGGGGCATGAGGACTTCTCTCTTTCAATGATCAAGCACAGCCAACATGGGCTCCTTCTCTGGCCAACACTGACATGATTCAGGCGAGCTTTTCAAAACAAGGCCTGATAATATTTCATCTGAAAAATGTTAACACTTTTTCTCTCCACAAATGCTGCCTGAGCTGCTGCACGTTTTCTTGGAAATGATGGCATTTTGAAAAGTTTGAGATCCTTCTTGGGCTAAAGGCAATCATTCCATGGGAGAGTATCTGTAAGAGATCTGATGCTGGGATGTTTGGTTCAGTCTGGTTCATTCTCCCAGAACAACATGTGGTGCTAAAGCTACATCCCAACAAGGAAGAGAACCGTTTGCCAAGTTTGCTCTGACTGCAGACAATTTAAGGTGGTTTGTTTAAAACCAGGACATTCACTTGGGTACCTGGTTGCATGTTTTTCCCTTCCTCCCTCAGGTATATGTCCGAGATGTTAAAGAAGAAAAGACAGGGCTTTCTTTAGAAGTGAAGGCAAGAAGGTCATTAAAAAAAAAAATCAACACTCATGTTAGACGTTGGCTTTCCAACACTTGGTTCAAAATCCAGCCTGGAACAATGGTATAAACATCTCTCATCTTCCAGTTGGAAGGTTGTATCTGGCATTGGGTACCAGTTAGCTCAGGTGGCTGGACGGCAATGCAGAGTGATGTCAACAGCACAGGCTCAATATCCGTGCCGGCTCACATCACCATGAAATTCCTGCCTTCTCAACATCATCCTTGGTCTGAGGCGTGGTGACCCTCAAGTTAAATTCTCCACTAATTGTCTCTCTCTAAAGAGGGACTGGTCCTCTGGGACTGTGGCGGCTTTGTATATGAAATCGGTTTGCCAACATCAAACTAGCCTCAGGTTAACTTGGGCTTACTGCCCCAAAACTGCCTCTAAACGGCATCAAATGGACAATCTCAGGCATGGGTGACTGACGTGGGAATCAGATCAACATCACGTCTAGTGTACAAAGGGCTCTTCCCCAACAAGGTAGGATCAAGGTAGTACTGGAGTATAAAAGGGAGTGCTTCTGAGAAACTTGTCGACACGCTCTCTTGAGCTTCCAACAGGAAGAATGGTGACTTGGTCAAGGTCATGAAGCAGGCCTGTAGGACAGTGCCCCAGGCATTGGCATCTTCAAACAAGTCTGAAGACAAGTCCCACTGAGTTATATGTGGTTCTGTATGTGTGAAGACGTACCTCGGTCTACTAAGAAGACTCCATAGTTGTTGTGTAGGTCTGAGTTCTCAGGACAGTTTTCAATGCCACGCATGTACACATCATCAGCTTCTCCAAATCGTTCCTTTCAAAAAATGATTGCCAAAATTTTATATCACTTAAAATGATCAATAAATTACAAACTTCCATCCCTCCCAGCTGTTCAGCTAACTTAGGAAATAACTAGCTTGGATAGTCTGTACTGAGCAAGCAAGATCACAAGTGATAGAGCAGAGATATTAGAGGTTGGCTCAGAACCAAGGGGAGGGTAATTCTCATTACTAATGCTGACCTATTGAAACAGCATTGGGATTTTCACTGTGGATAGGATTGGATGTGACTGTAATCTCCCTCGTGATGAAGTAACTTCACTTGACTGCAGCTTCAAAAAGGTACTATTGACCCACGTTTTCCTTGCACATTCTCATTGCCTGAGTAAAACAAACAAATCCAGTAACAGATTCAGTCTTTTGCCGAGTAAGTGCTGCTTAACAGGGTTGTCAAGGATAATTTCCATCACTTTCACAAAAATCAAGTGTGATAATTGGTCAGGTTGGATTTTTCCTGCTTTTTGCCACATTGGCCTTTCCTGTGCCTTCAGCCATTTCTCGATACCACATGCACAGAGTTGAATCGATTAACTATGTGACGCAGGGAATGAGGCAGATCACCCACGCATCACTTGTGGCTTAAAGTGAACGCGGATGTTTCAACCTTAGCTTTTGTCTGTAGCCCCACAAATCCCAACCCATCTTTCATGAAACAGGACTGAAAGAGGCCTTAAAGTGACATGCTACATGGCTGTAATAAAAATAAGCTATCCCTTCTTGACATATCTCTCACCTTTGGCACAGTTGATCAGATAATTCTTCTGTGATCACATGGTTCCATTCTTCCTTATCCAATCACAGCCAGGAGAACTATTCCCCTACGGTCTCTCTTCCGTTCCCACAATGCAGTTTCCTCCCAAGGGATTTACTTTTAAGCCCCTTCTATTTCTCATCTTCAACATCATCATCGGCATACATGTTATTCCCCACATTCAGCCTCACCTCACTATCACCTTTCTCATGTCCCCCTCTTTTGAATCCAAATTGTTAGGTTGCTTCTTGGAGATGTACGTCATAGAGATGTACAGCACAAAAACAAACCCTTCGGTCCAACGCATCCATGCCAATCAGATATCCTAAATTAATCTAGTCCCATCTGCCAGCAATTGGCCTACATAGCTCTAAACCCTTCCTACTCATGTACCCATCCAGATGCCTTTTAAATGTTGTAATTATACCAGCCTCCACCACTTCCTCTGGCAGCTCATTCCATACATGCACCACCCTCTGTGTGAATAATTGTCCCTTAGGTCCTTTCTAAATCTTTCCCCTCTCACCTTAAACCTATGCCCATCTAGTTTTGGATTCTCCTACTCTGAGAAAAAGACCTTCGCTATCCATGCCCCTCATGATTTTATAAACCTCTATAAGGTCACCCCTCAACCTCTGACACTCCAGGGAAAATAGCCCCAGCCTATTCAGCTTCTCCCTATAGCTCACACCCTCCAACCCTGGCAAGATCCTTGTAAATCTTTTTCTGCACCCTTTCAAATTTTACAACATCCTTCCTATAGCAGGGAGACTAGAATTGCATGCAGTATTCCAAAAGCAGCTTAGCCAATGTCCTATACTGCCGTTGACCTCCCAACTCCTATATTCAACGCACTGACCAAGAAAGGCAAGCATACGAAACACTTTCTTCGCTATCCTGTCCACCTGTGACTCCACCTTCACAGAACTATGAACCTGCACCCCAAGGTCTCTTTGTTCAAAAACACTCTCCAGGACCCTACCATTAAGTGTATAAGTTCTGCCCTATTTTGCCTTTCTAAAATGCAACACCTCACATCTATCTAAATTAACCTCAAGCTGCCACTCCTTGTCCCTTCTGATCTAGGACTGGATATGCTGAAGTTTCCATCAATAAAACTTTGGGGGTAACCGAAGACGTTGGGCAGAATTTTCCAGGTCTGCCGAGAACTTTTAGTGGGCTGGGTAGGGTAACTTAACTGGACAGAAGAGAAAAGTTCAGTTTCCTGACAGTGAGTTAAGGTTTAGCTGTTCTGTCCTCAGGATCAGGTGGATTAACTTTCTTAACCTACAGCTGTTTAAAGCTCACATCTAAGAAATGAATACTCATTAACACTCCAACTTGCCTGGAATTATGTTCACAGGTACAATCTTGCCACCAAAAAATGAGATCCACATGTTTATAAACTTGATCATATTTGTAACTCCAAGCTCATAATTTGGCTCTTAGGTAACTGAAGAAGGAACTGAAGAAGAATTTTCTGAATAAGGGTCCTGACCCGAAACGTCAACTTTCCTGCTCCTCTGATGTTGCCTGTCCTGCTGTGTTTCTCCAGCTCCACACTGTGTTAACTCCGACTCCAGCATCGGCAGTTCTTACTATCTCTTAGGTAACTGAGATGTTTCTTTGCACAATGCTTATCGTGTAAAGGATAAAGCCTCTCCATGCTGATCAGTTATGAGAAGTTTCAATAATGTGCAGTCTAGATTATTGCTAAATTCTCACAGGGTTACGAGTGAAGCTTTTTGGCCAAGCAAGGCAGCTATATCGGTGGACACTAACAAACTTGACTAGGGCAGGGCTGAACTCAAAAGGAAGCTCATCTCAAAGGGGTTTTGGTGCATCCGTGTCCCATGCATGTGTAAGAGTCTACACGTTTTACTTTTTTTTGTAATTTAAACTGAAATGGAAGTCAGAGTTCTATGAAATTAAAATATTGGAAGAGACTTGCAACTTGAAAATCAATTGCTACATATCTTTGCCGGTGCCAGACAATATCGCTTTTTGAAGACTGAACAGGACTGAGATTTTTTGAGATCAGGAAATTCTGCCTTCTGATTAATTGAGCTACAAAGTGTTCAAAAGCTACAAATGCCATAAGAACAGAGAAGGCAAATTTGTAGAAGCTGCAAACCGAAAGCATTTATCACTTCCTCTGTCTTGCTCTCATGTGAGAAAAACACAGAAAAGTTTAAATGAAACAATTTTAATACAAGACCTGAAACCAGCCAAAAATGAACTGAATGAAAGAGTGACCATCACTCTCCAGACAACAGCATCTCATCATTGCTGAATCAGAAGGCCTGAGAGAAATACTTTGGGAACCTTGCTGACCCTGTGTGTATTTTGTTCACCCATAATATCTGCGCCAAATTATCTTCTGTCTGTCTTGATCGTAAACGAGTGTCTGCATGTTTGGGGGTTTTGATGGAGTACAGTTTATGTTACATAGTAGTAGGTTAGAAATCTATTCTCTCTGGTTTTAAAAATTTATATTGACACAAATTTATCAGAGTTATTTTCTGATAATGAGGAAACCTGGAACGCATTGTTTTTGTCCTGATTAGCAATCAGTTAGGCAATGTACTCATCTGTGTGGTCTAATTGGAATTATTATTTTTTTGACAGCTTACTGAAGAGTGGGGTATAATTATCAATGCACTGTTCCCAACTAAGTTATCAGAAGCCTTGAAGCTCACTGCTGCATCTTTTGATTGATAATAACGAAGGACTGGATGTATTGTTAGCCTAAGTGTTAAAGGATAAAAGGATAGATATCAGGTTTCTCGTACTTAATAAGATAGCATTACAAGAAGCTAAAACCATCCTATGATAGATTTACAAGAATTAGAAAGCCAGACTGATGCAATTTGCAAATAAATTAGAGGTGGAATTGTCTGCCAGATCTAAGAAGGAAGAGGTTTGAATTTGATGTTGAAATATTGGTGAAGGATCTTGGACTGGTGGAAATACATGAGAAACTAGGAACACAGAGTGATGAGCAATTTGAATGAGCAAGGATTCGATTTCAGTTAAAGCGCCTTGATTATGAGAATGGGGTAAAACAACTCCAAATAGAAAATGAAAGAACTTTGGAATCAAAAAGAATGGAAAACAAAATTAGAAGGACAGTGGAGATGAGAAAGTTTGACCTTGAATGTCAGAGGCAAGAGAAACAACAAACATTTCGGGAGAGGGAAAATAAGAGGAAAAGGAAATTAAAGGAGAGAGATAGAGATTGCTAGCTTAAAGTAATGGGGTTTTTAAAAAAACATGTCAGATACTGAAGAAGGCTCTGATGGTGAAAATCCCAGTCGTAATACATAGTAAGGAAATGTTTAAATGTGGACAGACCTTACCAAAACTTTGAGGGAAAAGAGGTGGAGGCATTCTTTATGTCATTTGAGAAAATGGTGAAACAAACCAAAGTGGCTGAACGAAAACTGGACATTGTCTATTCGAAGCACATTGTCTATTCGAGGCACATTGACAGGCAAAAGCACACAAAATGTATGCAACACAGTCGGAGGGGTTTTCTACAGATTATGACATATTATTATGGAATAGAAGATATTCTGGATGCATATGAGATAGATCCTGAAGCATACAGGTCGTTCTGCCGTAACACATGCTTCGTTAACGCGAATTGGCTATAAAGCGATTGATGAATAGTGGACACTGTTTGGATAACGTGAACTTTCCGCTGTAAAGGTATAGTGATTTTCACACAAGAATGCAACAATCACGTTACAAGAGCACTACCTGTACAGGCAAAAGTTTCAACAAGTTGAAGAAGTCTGGCAAATTCTATATTAAATGAGAAAGGATAAACCAAGTGAGTTTGACAGACAAAATCAAGCATTGGAGGTAAATACCAAGTATGAAACTCTCAGAGAAACTATTCTCCTGGAAGAATTTATAAAAACCTTTTGTAGTAAGAACTGATGTTGAAGACCAGAAGGCTGTAACTGCTGAACAGGTAGCATTAATAGCTGACGATTAGAAGCTGATTCTTAAAACTAAACACTTTTCTGTCCCTCCCATAAACTCAAGAATGATTGAGGTTGGGAGACTGAAAGTAAGACAAGTAGACAGGGTAAAGAAGGGGCAGTTGGCAATGCCCCATGATCCCCTCCTCAGATCAGAAAGGGAGGTACTGAGGGCAGGGATTGAAGTGTTTCCATTGTCACCTTCATTCCAAATGCTGGAAGTTGCCTAGAAACC